TGGCTGAGCGAGGTGCGGGAGCAACACCGAGGGTTGCGATCCCGTAGCCGGTCCCGGTCCGATACGGGCAGGACACTGAGGGTTGCGATCCGTTGCCGGGCACGAAAAAAGACAAAAAGGAAAAATAAAACATTCACAATTTTTGAAGCTGTTAAGGATGCTTCTCTAGTACATTCTACTCCCTATCCCCACCCCCACCCAGAGATAATCACCATCCTAAATTTTGTTTATCGTTCTCTTGCTTTTCTTCATGAGTCTAACACATTTGAATCCTTAAACAATATATTGTTTACTTCGGAATATTTGGAAACTGTATGTAAATGGAATCATGCCATATTTATTGTCCTGCAAATTGCTTTTTTAACCAAACATTATGTAGCTGTGATTTATTGATGTTGTTGTAAGTAGCTGTAGTTCATTTCCTCTGCTGTGTTAAGTATACTGTTACACAAATATACTACCATTTATTCATCCAGTTTACTGCCAATGTGCATTTGCATTTGTTGAGCTCTTTTACCTACCCGTAATCCTGCCAACTGGGCCAATTGTTGAGCTAGGGCTGGGTCTGAAGCTCACAGACCCCTCAAGCCCATTCACAGACTGGGTCACAAACCCTTCACACTCAGATCTATGAGCTAGGTAACTGGAAAACAGGTCCTTGGAAGCTGTAGGTTCAAGAGCATGGCTGTGGGAAGATGCCTGAGGCAATCAACGTCAGCCCATTTGCAGTGATGCGCATGCACACTAACTCCACCCACATACAACTTGTTTACAAAGAATGTGCTGCACCACCCCCAACGGGACCTAAGGCAAGGGGGCCTGATTAAATTATTCTATTTTCCCAACAGCATTATTTCCAGTTCTTTTGTCACTCCCAACAATACTGCTATAACACTTTTTGTGCATGTTTCCTTGTGCATGTGCATAAACATTTCTTAAGATATATACCTAACATGGGAATGTTTGGTTCAAAAGTATGCACAGCTTCAGTTTTGCCTGGTAATGCCATTGCTTTCCCAACAGCCATACATGTAATTCTCATTGCTCTACAGCCTC